TTAGATATATGGATTTGAACAATCTCATGGATACTCATGGTATTTTGAAAATTGAGTTCTATGAATAAAAATGTGTAGAATCCATGTCCCAATAACATGAGATTTTAATAGAATTAGAGAATTAATGGTAACTAGATTTTTTCAATAACAAAATATTTTATTTAGAATTTAAGAATCCGTAAACCAATAATAAAGAATTTCATTAAGAATGTCATAATCCATAAACCAATAATAATGGATTCTTAAAATTTTAAAAATCTTTAAAAATCCATCTACCAATTACCCCCTTAGTTATTTCCTACTTTGTACAAAACCACAAGTTATTGAAGTGTGCATTTATAGACAAACAATATGAACCATTTCTTCCCGTTTATAAAAGATATAAAATAAAAGGGATGTATGGTGAATGAATATAACTCATGGGGACTACTCATTTAAAACCAGAGTTAGCCTTGTCTTTTTCAATAATTGGTCCAACCAAACATATCACAAACAATAGCAATTTCGGAAAGAAAAATAAATAAATCACCATGCATACAAATAATTTTACAAACATTATGAATTTTACATGCATAAACTCAAAGCCCCTTAAACTATTGATAGATTAAACCAAGTTCGATAATACAAATTACTAGGCCCAATAAGATAATTACTTCACACTAAGAACATCTTAATTTTCGGATTTTAAACAATGCACATTTGATTGGTTTTGGATGAGTGTAATCAATGTGTACGGAGAAAGTGAACCAAAGTATTTTAGTTACAACCAATATGTATGAAGAACATCGAACAACAATACAAGATTTATTAAAAACAAAATTGATCATTCGCAAAGTATCTATAGATTATTGGATACTAGTGGTTGGAACTGTTTTATTTGGACCATATGTTAAGGAATTTGTAAGCTGGCAAAATAGATTGTTCATGGAGGGACCCATCCCAGCCTTAAATAATTCTTCCTTTTGAAACTAACAAGAAAAAAGTAATAGAAAGGGTCCCGAATTATTTAATTTTCAATGTTTGTAAAGTCAAATGCTAGTTTTTAATGGCATTTGCAATTGCATAAAAGGAATATTAGTAGTTTTTTTCTTCTTCTTTAACAATTTTGAATCAAATCTCCATCTTCAGACATTGTTTTTTCACACGACAAACCACATAATGCAAGGTAATATCATAAAAACCACGTTTACAAATCGAAAGTAACTTTGCTCTTTCTATTTTATAATACTTGTCGTCTTAAAATTATAATGTTAATTAATCTACATTTCTTAATCCTGATTCATAATCTGAAACTTGAAAGCAACAATATCTTCTTCTTTTTTACTACCCATCCTAGACAATCTATTTTTTAGTTAAGTTGATAGAAAGAATATATATATCAATTATCAATATTCAATACCCATGTCAGTTTACCATGCAACACACATTTAAGTAACAATCATACCCAAAAAAAACATAAGTAACGAAACACGTATACTTAAAAATCTGTTGTCACATCTTTCATTTATTTATTTTTCAATTCGACTCCACCTTCCAAAAATGCAAATAACAGATAGTATTTTTCTCATGACAAAAAAAAAAAGATAATATTTTTCTCTAGAAGAAGTTAAAATAAAAATAAAAAGTTTTTTCTCTAGAAACAATTGGTAAAACAGAAAATAGAGCAAACTGATCATATTTCCAAATATTTCATTGAATAGCTACTTCATTAATCTTCTGTAAACAAACTATTTTTTTTTTTGCCGGTCAACAAACTTTGTAATCTGTAGAAGAAAATATCTACAAAAATCGATTGTGGAAGTAATGTTTTGAATAATTAAAAAAAAAAATAATGTTTTGAAAATATCTTGAATTTATTTCTTTGTTCTAAATCTCGGTCAAGTTGGCGATTCGGCGGTCGAGAAGCCGGTCGGCGGTGACCCACCGTGACGAGATGGACATGTTCGGAGGTCTTAGGCGGAAAACCGAGTTTTCATCGCCGAAACCGTGGTTTTAACCAAAAAGCGGCGGTTAATAAGCAAAACGGAGGAGTCCAAAGATGAGTTTTCACCACCGTAACCAAGGTTTTTTCGATCCTTTTGCTTCATCCAGTAAAGATTCAACGTGACTTTTTGTTCCTCTATTAAAGCTTATCATTAAGCTTCATGTTCTTTTGGAGAAGAAAGATCTAGAACAGAAGAGATAAGGTTTTATCTTATCCGTTGGATTATAATCGGACGGTTACAAAGATAAGTCATGTAGATGAAACATATTTTTGGAAGTTATAACAAATAAGAACTGAACACGTGTAGGTTATAACAAATAAGAACTAAACACGTGTAGATAACATTGGTAACTGACATCTCTTAATTCTAAATAGAGCACATATTCACAAAATAATAAAATAACTATAATTTTAATAATTTAATAACACAAATAAATGTAAATAACATACTAGAATTATGAAA